ACACATAGCCAAGTCTGTTTAAACTCTACCTGCATGATAAACCAGCTGTTTTCATGGGAATGGAAAGAGCCCAGCAGCTTTTTCATGTTCTACTGATTTGTAACACCACAATATTTTATATTAGAGCTGCTGGCAAAGGCTCTGAGAAGTAAAACCTCACACAGGGATATCCCCTGGGATCTCAGCCTGGTCTTCCCAGGACTAGTGCCAGGTGACCTTTAACAGGCAGGAGCTGGAGGAGAACAGAATCACAGAAGGTTGGACAAACCCTCTAAGATCAAGTCCAACCATCAATCCAGCACCACCAGGTTCACCACTAAACCGTGTCCTGAAGTTCCACATCCATGCATTTCTGGAACACTTACAGGAAAGGTGACTCCACTACTGCTCTGGGCAGTCTATTCTAATGCTTTACAACCCTTTCCATGAAATTTCCCCAAATATCCAATCTAAATCTGGTACAACTTGAGGCTGTTTCCCCATGTCCTGTCACTTACCACCTGAGAGCAGAGCCCAACCCCACCTGGCCCCAATCTCCTGCCAGCAAAGTTTCCTTTCAGCACTGTAGCCAGGAATCTGCTCCTGCCTCACCTGGGAGCCTTGTGTTTGAGCACAAAAGGAAATTACAGGCTTTAGGCACTTCCTAAATCAGAGAGAACAGCGGAGGGCCCATCTTTGGATAAGGCTGGGGACAAATACTTCACCACAGCCTTGAAGGACAGGCACAGTGGGACACTGGGATATTGCACACGTCTCTGTCCTTTCCATTTCACATCATCTTGTGGTTTCTAAGTCCTGGCCAGTGCTCCCAGCCTAGGCAAAGCCAGCCCAAGTGCATCCAGACCCACACCCAGTGTGTCCCCTACAGGGATCCCTAAAACCAGGCGCCACAGTAATTTCTTCAGTTTCCAGAAGAGATCAGAGCCCAAGATCCTTCCACAGAGGTATCACAGGTACTACTGCAGGCAGGAACTGAAGAAATCCTCAGAAAAAAAGTGCAAAATGCTAGAAGAGGAGAGAGCTGGAAGGAAAACAGAACTCAACAACCTCATTAAAGCCTTTCTTCTTCCTTTGCTTAACAAGGAGAATGCTTAATTAAGTCTTCCTTCAAGCCTTCCCCCTCACCTGGCAAGGCTCAGCAGAAAGCAGAGACTTAACAATTTCCTCTGCAGCACAGGACACCTCAGTGGGACAGGAATTTGCATATTCTAAAGGAGCAGTGAATCGCTGGTTCTCTGTTGTTCAGCCGCAGTGGGGAGGGACAAAATCAGCAGGAGGTACATTTCAGCTCTGCTCAGGAATAAGAGAGAGCAGGAGGGAAAGGAATAAATAGCAACTTGCTCCAAGTCTGGAGCTTTCCCAAGGCAGAAGTTTGATTGTGTTATACACAGACTTCTCAGTTTATTTGCACGTCTCCTGCAGCTTAGTAGGTCAGTTCAACTGGCAACTGCTGCTGATTTTAAGCCCAATTATAGCCACTTCTACCTGGTGACAAAGCCTCAGTTCTGCAGCCAATTCTCACCCATTAATGCCTCCAGAATTGACAGAACTTGCTATTCATGCTAATCACCAGTTTGACCTCACAGTTACTGTTTCCTGTCATAATTTCAGTCTTGTTTGTTTTCACTGGAACATCTCCCTGTGTATTCCCAACTCCTGGGACCACTTCTCCTGTGTGGGGAGCTGAGATACATACAAGCTTTCAACACTGGCTCACCTATAACCAAAAATAAGAGCACAGAGATTCATCCTCCTGGGACAGAACTATCACCAAGGACCCTCTACTAGAATCCAGACATTCTTAGGGAAGTTGTCCCCAGTCCTCATGATTTAGTTCTCTTATGAGAGAGAGTCCACAGCAACACAACAACGGGAAAGTTCTTTTTTTTTTTCTTTTTTCTGATAGGTCTTTCAATCAAAACATAACAAAAAGCTCCAAAAAGCCAGAGGCCTCAGCCGACCATTCTGCAGTTTAGGGAACACCAAGGAGGACTTCAAGCTCTGCACATCCCAGGAAACTGGGCTCTACATACCTGCATCACACAAAGTGAACGGAGACAGGTAAATAAACCAAACCCTCAGAGGGGCCAGCTTGAGACCCAAGAGATTTAGAAGGAACTGCAGCAGGATGGATTTAAAAAGGAGTTTGTGCCTTTGTTTCCCTCTGAGTACTTCCCAATTCCCCCAAGAAGCACCACAAGCAGCCTTGCATTTTGCCAAAGGGAGATCTATTCTGACCCAAAATTCCATTGAAAAAGGTAGGAAATGTGTTCTGAGCAAGATGCTTGTGGCAATTGGAAGAACTGGGCTCTACAGCTGCCAGGGGATACAGAAATCATGGAATAGTCTGGGTTGGAAAGGACCTTAAAACCCATTGGTTTCACTCCCTGCCATGGACAGAGGCATTTTCCACTAGACCAGGGTACTCAGAGCCACATCCAGCCTGGCCTTGAACACTTCCAGAGATGGCGCAGCTCCAGTTTCTCTGAGCAACCTGTGCCAGGCTCTCACCAACCTCACAGGAAAGAATTTCCTCCCTATTTCAAATTTGAATCTTCCCTCTTGAAGTCCTTAAAGCTTAAAGTCATTCTCCTCTGTCCTATCATTACAAAATCTGTTGCAAAAATATCAGGCAGAAGGAAGATGCTCAGATGCATCAAACTGGGTTTGAGTGTAATTATACAAAACAGCCCTGGATTACTTAGTACAGAGAAATGAACTTTGTTCCTGGAACACAGCAGGGTTCAGCAAAGGCATAGCAGTCTCAGCTTGGAAAGAGCTGTGAAGCAAGGGATGGATGCAGCAATGTTCAGGAGGGAAGAGATACTACAACTGAGCCATTCAGGAGCTGGACCACGGGTCAGCTCAGGGCTCCACAAGCACCTGTCAGCTGATATATAGGAAGGTTTTCTATAACTTTTGTGATTCCACTGGTCCATTAACCATGGACTGTAGACAGCATTCCCAGCCCATCTCCTCACTCAGTGTCTAAGAGAACGGATTAAGCTGCCCTGCCAAAGCGCCCCAGTACAGCCTGTACTCTAAACTTAACTGCTACAAAGCTGTTGGAAAACACTAAAGAATGTTCTGCCTCAATTCTGACCAATTCCCAGTGTCTTTGATAGGGAGGAGGAGCTCCTGCTGGAACTGCTTTACTCCTCTCTGAATGTATAATGATGTTTTAAAGCAGCAGCACAACCTTCAGCTTGCACATGGCCCTGCAGGAACTTCCTCCAGCAAAGGACTTCTTTTCCCATGAATGAACAGTAGATTTTTGTTTGGGTCTCAGTGACTTATGTTCATCTGGGAGACTTAGTTTCCTTTTAATACTGCAACAAAAATCAACTTCAAGGAAGCCTGGAAATATTTTTGACTGACAGCTACCCATCAGCTGTGTAAGGTGGGAGAACTCCACACACAGAAGTCAGTGGATAAATTGGCTGATAAGCAGTTCAGCCCAGCACTTAAGCTTGCCTACAGGACAGAATTTTCACCCTTTTCCTCTGCACTTCTCAGTCTCCTCTTACCAAAATCACTGGTTTTACTTACACCAGATGTGTGGAAATCAGCATCTTCACAAGATGCTTTGTGGGAAACGAGAAGCCACACAACCTTCCTGGGGAAGACCTGTCTGGTGCCCCAGCAGATCACTACAATCATCCTGACTCCCACCACAAACCAGGCCCAGGTGATCCCAGACCCCCACAAGAGCTTCCCAGGTCAGACACCACCAGGGATGAGACCCAAGATAGATCCTATATGCTTCCAAACTGCAACTTCCTGAAACGCAGCAAGTGGAAAATCAGGGCCTTTTGCCAACTCTAGAGCCACAGACTTTCTGCACAAGACCCCATCAGTCTTACATCCCCTTTCAGAACTCCTCTCCTGGGGGCAGGCACCTGCTAACACACTTACTAAAGTCTCATCCCAAACCCAGGGCAAGATGACTTGTGCTCTGAGATCACATGCCCAGCTTGGACCAGAGCAAGGAGCAGCGGAAGAGTAAAGGCAAGGAGATGTCCAGATGATGTCCAGATGTCCAAAGAGATAAGGAATCATGTCCAGTCAGGAGAAGGTTGTGCTCCTTTAGGAAGGAGCATTCAATCCAACCTCTTCCTCAAACACTCCCTTAGCTTCCTCACAAGCACAAAGAGACAACCTTAAAACACCAGAGCTGTTGGAAAGGCTGCCAATATTCATTTTCTGCTAGCGAAGAGGTATTGTCTGTATTGCAGGAGAGACAACAGCAGCAAACTGATGGCCCTGAGCTGGGGATGGTTCATGACAGGATTTTGTCATTTTCCAGAATTCTCTCCCTAGGGTTTCCCCCAAAGCAAGAGACCGGAAAAGATTTCTGCTCCTGCTTGCACCTCCCCCTGAAGATTTCAAGGAAAAAAAGATGGATCAAAGAGCCTTTTTGCATTTATAAACCTGTCAATTTTTCTAGAAGATTTAAGGCTTTAAAGAGTTCAAAACATTTACTTGAAGTTTTCTATCCAAACAGACCTCTTTTAATACTTAAAAAAACCCCCAGAAATAAAATATTTAGATTTTTCTGAAGTAAGGCATTCCGACAGCTCCAGACAGAAGTGCTGGAGAGGAGGAGGAAATCCAATTTTTAAGTTTGACAGTAACTTTTCTTTTTTTTCCTTTTCTTTTGACTGGCAGAGAAACAAGACTACAGAGCTATTTCAGCCCCTGGCTCTGACCAGGAATAGCTGGGATGAGCAGCACAGGAAACAGCAAACCAAACTTGCTCAAGTGCCGCCATTTCCAGGTCCCTGTCCCACACATGCTTTGCCTCACAAGAAAGATTCTTCAAGGTGATGATATAGCAGTATTCCACCCCACCATCCTGCCCTTCCTCTCCACACACTCCCACCACTTTCCATTTTGCATCCAAAAGCCTATCCCACAGAAGAGAAGCAAGTTCCCCACCTGAGAACACTACAGGCATGACATGTTTTGGGAGAGTTCAGCCCTTTTCAAAACCTGGTTACCTTGATTTCTTCTCAGCCATAAGAATTGAGAGGGTCAAACATCTGGCAGCACATTTCTTTCTCCACTTTCATATACTCCTTGTAGTATCTGCAAAGTAGAGCACAGGATGGCGTCAGGGGCTGGAGACTGTCTGTGCCACCCTCAGTGTCACAACCTGAAAATAATGTTATTTTCTGGATATAAATAAATTAACACAATGGAAAATTGTGCCAGCAGCACAGACACAGCTCCTCTAAGCCTTTCTTTCTGCAATGTCAAGGAAAGAGAGCTGGAAATGTGATGTCTCACCCCCAGACCTTGGATCTCTGCTTGGGACTAATTAGATCATTTGCCTCCTGTGAGACAGGTGCTCTCTACACTAATCCTGGAAAGAAGGGACAGTGCAGAGGAACCCCACCTGTGTGCTGTGGGATACTTTTGTGAGTCCTTATGCAAGTTCTTTTAGCACCCAGGAGACACTGTCCGACTACCATACAACAGGATATCTACATTGGATATATGATATGGGCAGAGGATGGGAAGGAGACAGCGGGGATTTGTGTCTGGACTAAGTGGATGACAAGCAGATGTATCTCCCTCTGCTCTCTCTTCCTTGCCAGTGTGACAGGATGGCAAAAGCTTCGCAGCCTGCTCCATTTGAACTTTTCCAAGCACAGCATCCTCTGCTCTCTGTGCTCTCACCTCACTGGTAAGGAATCCCTGAGCTGCAGGCTGACTCAGTGTGGGAACACTGTTCCAGGGATCAGTGGCTGCCCACGAGTTCGGCTTTCCTGCATCTACTGCCATATAAGGCCAAAAGCAAAGGGTTTTGTGCAACAAACTAGAACCAGCCTGAGGGAGAGGCTGGCTCAGGTTCTCTCAGCCCCAGCCCTCAGCACCCTTGGGGCCCAGAACCTCAGAGGGTACAAAATCCCAGCACAACAAATCTCTCCTGGTAAGTCTCACACAGAAGTTGCTGACCAACGATGCCCACCTGTAGCTGGCACATTCCCACACCTATGACAGCAGGAAATCCAAGAGCCCTTGTTTGGAGGAACAGATTAATACCAGATATTGGAAGAACCTAAATTCATTCTGGTTTTGATACAATGCAAGCCTTCCAATAGAATTCCTAGATTCAGCAGCAGAATTTGCACCAAATCCACCACAGCTAGTACCAGACACATTCTACATACCTCTCATCCTGGATTCTGCCTGTTGTTCTCCAGGGGATTTTGCCAAGAATCTGTTTCAGCCAGTAAACAGATGCATTCCAAAGCTTTGTTTTAGACAGCAAAAGGGAGCTTGCTGATTACCACACAACATTGCTTTTAACAAAGTACTCAGTAAGGAAGTGAAAAGCCACTAAGAACAAGATTTTGATTCATATTCCATTTCTGAAGCATTTGTCAGATCACACTACAAGTTCTCAGGCAAGGGCAGGCTGGCAACTTTACATATCTAGTCAGAGGTAAGGCCTCATTAACAACACCCAGTAGCACTTGCTTCATATGCTTCACACTAATTCCACTCTTTGTCAGAGGCAAAAGACATCTCCTGCAGTGCTGCCTCCAGCATCAGAAACACATACAGCTGCTGGAGCAAGTTCAGAGGAGGCCATGGAGATGGCTCCAAAGGCTGGAGCCCCTCTGCTCTGAAGACAGGCTGGAAGAGCAAAGGTCTTTACATGGAAAGAACTCCAGAAAGACCTCAGAATCCCTTCCTTTGCCTAAAGGGGCTCCAGGAGAGCTGGAGATGGACTTTAGACAAGGACAACAGGGAATGACTTCCTGCTGCCAGAAGGCAAGGGTAGATGGGATACTGGGAAGAAATTCTTCCCTGTGAGAGTGGGGAGGCCCTGGCACAGGTTGCACAGAAAAGCTGTGGCTGCCCCATCCCTGAAGTGCTAAAGGCCAGGTTGGACAGGGCTTAGAGCACCCTGGTATGGTGAAAAGAGTCTTTGCCCATGACAGTGGAATGAGCTTTAGGACCCCTTCCAACCCAAAGCATTGCATGGTTAAAAGCAAAAAGTACACCAGTTTTAACAGGCAGCAAAGCAGGAACTCCAGGACAAGAGTTTAAGGTGCACTCAATTCTGACACACGCACACTCACTGAACGTGCTGCTCTCTACAGAGCTGGAGCTGACAAAGACAGAAATGTCTTGTTGCTTTCCAGTCACACCACCTAAACACCATTAGCAAAATTTCCCTTTTATCTACCAAAATATTTCAAACAAATCTAAGTGAATACATGAGGCTACTAGAATCAGACCTTCTAGCATTATACATATACTAGCCTCCAAGAGCAGTCAGCCAGATCTAGTTTAGAACTCCCCAATCTCAGTGGACAATTTGGTAGCTCCATACCCAGTGGGAGATCAGGATGAATACAAGAGATTAATTTAAAATTTCCAGACCAGCAGCTAATACTACTTTCAAGCTCTTTGTTCTTTGGAAGTAACAAAACCAATATGCAGACTCAGTGTTATGACAGACTATTTAAAGACAACATGAATACACAGGACAGAACAGCCCTCCACCGACATATTCCCTGGCAAAAGGCACTCAGCCAGACTGGCTTTTCCAGCAGCACCAACCACTCTTTTTAGGTGTTACTGCTGCCTTTCTGCAAGTGCCTGGCACTGACACACAGAAGAGAGTTCATATTCAAGGGCTGCTTTGTGAGCTCCAGAGCTGAGGACAGCATCACTCCTGCCTCAGTACACAGTGCCAGGAGGACAGCATACACTTTTGGGAAAAATCTAATGCTTCTGGCAGTTTCAAAGGAAGAGCATCATGAGGGCATAGACAAGCATTAGTCATGTTTTGGTGGGGTGGGGGCATGACTAAAAGCTGGCAGGATAGTCCTGAACTCAGCCTGTGGGGAAAGGGAGAGTTCATCTTCAGGGCCGTTCATTTATTATCTCCAAGATGGCAAGAAATTCACTTTCAATGAATATTAGTATTGTGCATTGAAGCACATGCAGCTTGCTGAAAATAACCAACACATCTTAAAGGGAATGAAAATCATACTTATTGAGAACATTACCAGCTGGATCATCAGTCAACTGTATTTCACTGGATTTGAGGTATTTTAGTAGCCCCCACATCCCTGTTCTCACCCTGATCTGCTCACAAGTCAGGACACATACACCAAAGAAATACATGGAAAGGGTGGATGCTTTGAGCTCCTCACTTGCAGCTTCTGGGCCTGAAAAATGTTTCAAGCTGTTTTCTCCACATGCGTTTTCCCAAGTCACTTATTAACCCAATAGTTTGGGGTTTTTTTGAGTATTTTAAATATTTTGGAATGGGCATTACAGCCTGTCCAAACACTCTCTCTTCCCCAGGTATAGAAAGGAGGGCTCTCACCTTGCTAACTTCTTCAGCTCATTGTTGATATCACGGTTGAAGGGTTGGATGCACTGAGCTCTGGCCAGGAAATCCCGGGATTTGCTGTACTCCCTCATGTAGAGACAAGCCTATCATGGAAAGAAGTTAGATGCATCACAAGATAAATACAGACCTGCTGCCCTTCTTCAGGCCTCGTGCCAAAACAAACTTTCCTGCAACAGAGAAAAGTAATTCAGGAACACTCCAGGAAAAGCTCCATGTGACACATTTCCAGAGAGCCAGACTTTCCAAAAGGGCAGATGCAGACAAACCACCTTGACTACTGCAGCAGCCCAGAATTCAGAGATTCCCCTCAGCTCATTCTGGGCTCCCTCTACAGCCCGGCCAGGATGTTCCATGATGATTTATTTGCCCACCTGGCCACACCTGAAGAGCGCTTTGGCATTTCCTTGGTCCATCTCCAAGGCCAACTCCCCGTATTTCAAAGCTCGGTCAGCACGTTCCAGTTTCAGGTAAGTGAGTGAGAGATTCAGGAACAGCAGCAGTTTGGAAGCGTTGATCTGGCTCTGCTCTGCCTTACTGGAAGAGCTGCAACCCAGGATGGAGAGTGCCTGAGCAGAGAGGGAAAATCAGCCAGTGCACAACAAATCCATCATGGAAAGTGAGAAATCCATCTCATCCAACAGCTACACCCATATTTCTGGTCACCTAGGTCACTAAAATGTAGTAACAATCAAAACTCTAAATACAGGGCATGGCATTCTCAGCATGACTAGTCATGCTGACCATATGACCACAGGCTTAGAAACTCACCATGGAAAGCAGAAGAATAAAAAAAAAGAACCCAGAACTCAGATTTAATATGGATATCTTACAGGATAAATATGGATATCTTACTGGGAAGAAGGCAAGTCAAATTACTTTAGTTTCAAAAATCCAAGCAAAAGCAACTTTGAATCATCTCTACCTCTGAAAAAATAGCAGATGCCTTCCAGTTTGAGAATAACTGAGCATTTACCCTGCCAGGAGAGGGAGCTAAAGAGGCTCAGACCAGGAAAAAGGATTAGGGGGGATCACCTTCTCACTCTCTACAATTCCTGGACAAGAAGGTGCAGCCAGATAGGGGTCAAGCTCTGCCCACAGGTAGCTGGACAAGACAAACAGCCTCAAGTTGCAGCACAGGAGGTTCAGGTTGGATACTGGGGAAAATTTCTCACTGAAAGCGTTGTGCAGCCCTTGCACAGAGGCTATTCAGGGCAGTGGTGGAATCCCCATCCCCAGAGGGACTTAACAGCCCTGTGGATGCGGCACTTGTGGACGTGGATTAGTGGTGGCCTTGGCAGCTCTGGGAACAGTTGGACTTGGTGGTCTCAGAGAGCTTTTCCAGCCAAAATGATTCCGTGACTATTCCTTAATTTACCACTGCTGCTCACACAAAACCAGGTGTGCAAGCCCTGTTCTGAAGTAACAAACTATACCTGGAAAAATACCATAAAGTTATTTGATCTCTAGCCTGTACCTGTTGTGGTGAGCTAAAATAATCCCTTCTTCCAAAGCTTTCCCAAAGCACACCCCACATTTTCCTGGTGCCATACCCTCTTGTATCTGTCCTTGGCAATCTTGAAGCACTGCTTATAGAAGAAGTAGTTGCCAAACTCTCTTTCTGTGGCTGCCACTTTCAACACCTTTTCCAGAGGAAGTCTATCCCGCTGTTCCTGTGTGAAGAAATATCTGAATTTCAGCTCAAACTAAAGAAAACAGGCAGAGAACTCAGACAGGACAGTCCTGAACAGCTCCTTCCTATTCACAGAGCAGAAGCCAGGTCCCTTACCAAGGCCAGGCCACCACCATGTGGTATCTCCCCAGCCAGGCTGAAACATTACAGTGTTCTTGTGCTGATTATTCCACTAAAGAAGTCAGGAAGCTCCTCAGGCCTAAAGGGGGACTGAAAAAAAGCAGGAATGTGTTCTTAAAACCTGCCCAACTCCTTCAGCACACAGCTGAGTTAACACAAATGCTGACACTGGCACAAAGCTGCTCGAAACATTCCATTGCTCTAATTGCTCTCAGGCCAGCTCTGGGACAGCCTGACACTCCCAAAGACAGCAAACAGCAAAACAAAAATCCCAATAATCATTAAAAAAAAGATAAAAATGGAGGGACAGGTTTTCTTCTGGGTCTGCAAGTTGGAACCAGCTCATAGAGAGGGGTCAGTCAGACAAAATGGGTAGGCAAGGAGGGAGAACAACAAGTCTGGTTTGCTCACAGGGCTTTGGGGGAAAATTTACCTGTGCAGGGGCTGGAGGAGCTCCCCCATTAGCTTCTGCCTCCACTCACTGACCCACAACCACAGCCCAAAGCCCTTGACATGGAAAGGTGAATTAACAATAGCACTGTAACTCACCAGGAAGGAAAGAGGGAGCACTTGGGAGAGGAGCCAAGAGGCAGAGACAAAGGTTGGGGGCTGGTGGGGCACTGGGACACTGCAGACTGAAGAGGATTGTAACAGTCAGCTCCTTACTGTTCCCTGAAGAAATTCCTGGAAGCTGCTGCCCTCTAGTGCAACCATGAGGTTTCTGGTAAAACTAAAAATAAATGGGAGCCATTCCAGCACAGAGGAGCAAACAAAGGCAGATCCCGCCTTCTCCCTCTGCACGGGAGGGCAAACAGAGAGAGACATGGAGAGACACAAAAGGCAGGCATGTGGATCAGAGCAGAGCTGGGAGCCCAGGGACTAGATACTTGCAGCAGCACCCACGTGAACACGTGTAACACAGAAGCCACAGCCACTGTGAGACAGGACAATGGTGGTTCACCCTCCAGATTTCGGTCTCAAGCCTTATTAAAAGAACTCACACAAGTCAACTCAAAGAAGGTGTCGCACTCCTCTGAGTCTATGAAGTCCAACACCTCCACCTTGAAGAGGACCGTGGTGTTTGGGGGGATGGAGGGAGGACAGCCCCGCTGGCCATAGGCGTATTCCGGAGTGAGGACGAAGAGCGCAGCCTCTCCTTTGGTCATGGACAGCAGCCCGATCTCCAGCCCCCACAGGGTGATGTCTGTCACAACGAGGGGTGGGACATTGTGAGCTTCACCAACACCAACACCCTCACACACCAAACAATGACTGCTCCTTAAGCCTGATGGAAAAAAAATCCCTGGGAGCTCCTGTCTCAGCAACTACAACAGCCAGTTGCTCCAGAAAGGATTATCAGGGGTACTGCTGCTGTGGGACTGAGCACGTGGCATTGCAAATCCACAGCGGGATGAATTGGAAGGGGCTTTAGAGATGATCCAGTCCAAGCCCTGCCACAGTCAGGAACACCTTTCCCTAGACCAGCATGCTAAAAGGCCTGTCCAGCCTGGAAAACATCATCTCCTCTCAAGAGACTTAAAACTACCTGAGGGCAGGTGGGAAACACCTCCCTACCATTCCCAGGCAGAGGGTGAGCAGGTCCAGATTCCATCTCCCACGTGAACCAGGAGGATTTTGGACTCCATAAACAAGCGTTAAAGGTTTCAAACAACCCAAAGACACCAAACAGCATTTAAACTGAAATGCTTTAATAAAACCCCAGGGCCCAAAATGCCTTAATACAATCCCAAGCCCCAGGACAAAGTTTGTGGCTCAAACCTACCTTTTCCAAGTTTCATCAGCCTCGGATACTTGCTGTTCCCATTTGAACAGAAGAGCTTATTCCAATTTCCTAGGTACCCAGAGTACCTCACTGTACAGCCCAAAGCGAGGAGTGGGTAGAAAGGAAAAGCAAGAGGTTGATTTCATATCCCATAACAGCAACATCAGGAGCACACTAAGAGTTGTAACCACCCAGTTATCCTGCTTCTCCTTTTCTGTTCTGCTATAGAACGGCAGAGGCAGCAAAACCCCTTCTGTTTTACACCAAAAACCTGGTCACATCCAAGCAGTCAACTGCTGTGTGTTTTAGCATCATTCCCAGACAAAGCAGCTGCTTCACAGTCCTGATCTATTTAAGAGATGTGATTTTGCATTTTTAAGAACTGGAAACTTCAGCCAAGCAAATTAAAATGCCCCAATTATATGCAGAAATATTTAAAAATAATTCCCTAACCAAAGCTGGAGCTCTGGAAAGAGGAACAAGAGGAAAAATGTACCACTACCCCAAGCTCTGCATCTGTAACTACAGTTCTGCCTCAGAAAATACACTGTAATGGGCTCTCTTGACACAGCACCAGGGCCCTGCACTTCAGGAACTGCTTCCAACTTCAAACTTCTCTGTGAGCACAGGTGGGCCCTAGAAATCCTTCATTCCTCAAGGTCAAGATGCCTTTTCATTTAGTGTGTCAGCCACAAGAAGTTAAACAGGGTATCCCAAGTGTTAAAACACTGGTAAGGAGAGGAGACAGTCTCTGAAACAGAGACACGGCACAGTACAATATCAGCATTTTTAAGTCCTTGTTGTGGTTTTTGCCAGCCACCAGCATGTCAACATTACAGCCTTGGGGGATTTTCCGCCACAGGCTCTGCCCTGTTTCCCTCAGCACCCACTTCAGGTCCAGCCACACAGACCAAACCTCACACGGAGACACAGCTGACAGAGATGATCCTCACCAGAGGATCTACACCAGATCCTCACTCCAGCCCACACTTCCACATGGATTTTCATGTTCTTAGTCCTGCTGAACTTAGGCTAAAGGAAACAATTCCTATTTAAAAGCTGCTCAGGAGATGGTTACTGGTGCCTGAACTACCAGTGAATTCAGGCTCAACATTACTGCAGAGCACCCTGAACCTCCCCAGGCAGCCAGGCCGAGCACAGACAGCCTCACTCCAGGACACCAGCCCTGGAGAGACTGCAAGAATCGTGGAATGGTTTGGGTTGGAAAGGACCTTGAAGATCATCCAGTCCAACCTCCTACCCATGAGCAGGGACACCTTCAAGTAGAGCAGGTAGCTTCAGCATGGCCCTTAACATTTGCAGGAATGGGGCAACCTCGGCTTCCTTGGGCATCCTGTGCCAGAGAGTTGGGACATCCCTAACAGGGGTGCCCGGCCCTGCCCACGGGACCTCTCAGGGCCCACAGGAGGCTCCGGAGGCCCCAGGCCCGGCTCTACCTGCCACGGAGGCGGATGGGGGCACGGGCTGCCCGGTGCCGGGGCGCAGCTGCTCCTTGCGCACCCCTCCATCGCCGGTCAGGTCCTGCAGGGGTTGGAGAGACTCCGAGGCCAGAGATAAAGAGGGTGTCGAGGCCGGGGTCGGTGCTGGGGTCGGCGCCAGAGCCCACGCCGGAGCTGAAGCCGGGTCCGGGTCCGGGTCCAGGTCTCGCCCCCCGGCCCCGAGCCCCTCCCGGCCCGCGCCGCCCGCCATCATGACCGCGGCGCCTCCAGCCAATCACGCTCCGAACAGCGGCCCCGGCCCAACGCGCGGCTTTAGAGCCACGCGGGAATGGACATGCGCCTGCGCAGCACCAACGGAAGGCGGAACGGCACGGAGCGCCGCGGTGCACGCTGGGGGATGTAGTCCGCGGTCTGCACTGCCCTACGCATTTCGTTAGAACAAAAACCCCAAACCAACCCAAAACTCAAAACCCAAACCCGACCCCTACAAAAACAGCCGATCAAAAAACCCAACCAAACAACTATACGAAAAAAAACCAAGCAAAAAAACCCCAAAACCCAAACCACAACCCAATCAAACAAAAATCCAAACCAAAGGGAAAACAAAACCAAAACCACCCTCACCACCACCCACTCACCCACCCACCCAACCAACCAACCAACCAACCAACCAACCAACCAACCAATCAAAACCAAAAACCAAAACAAAACAAAAACAAACCACCCCTAAAGCCCAAAACAAACCAAACAAAAAACAAACCAAAACAACAAACAAACCAAAAACCATCACAGGCAAAAAATCCAACGGCTTTGGAACAAGTTGGTAAGTTTGGCCTTCTTCAGGCACTTGAAAGGGTATAAATGCAAAACTAATGAGAATGCAAAATAGTTGCAGAAATAAGCACACATTCTTGAGAATTTTTGAGATCAGTACAAAAGAACATAAACCCAAGTTTTTTATTCACAGAAGGTGGGAGGGAGGGAGGTGCCCACAGCCTGTCCCCAGTCCCCCTTTGGAGAGAAGGTGCTTCATCCTCTGCTTTGCTGCATCTCGAAGACCTTCAGTGCAAGGGTGGCTGACAGCCCCAGGGTGATCCTTCCACCACCACATTCCCGAAGTTGGACATTCCTCAAGGAGAAGCCAGGACCATCCCCAGCTCCCCAGGAGATGCTAAGAGGGAAGCCAGGGGATGGGATCATTATGGGATTTGTATGAGGGATGCTCATAAGCCAAATACATCGATAAACCCAGAGTTATTATATGAGAAACTATATTTTTTCACAATCAGACAAAATAATTCCTTGTGCCTTGCCCCACGCAGTTAGAGCACTGTTTGGTTTCCTTCTGTTTTTTTTCCAAAAGCATGACAGGTTTTCACCACATCACGAAAAAAACCCACCAAAAAAAAAAAAAGAAATTGTAATTAATAGCAAAGTTAACCTAGTGCTTGGCTATTGTGAGATGCAAAGCTGTGCTTCGTGTCAGGTACAAACAGGCGACGTGTGTATTTGTGAATGCGAAATGTGTGGACCCCGACAATGGGAGAGCTGTGAATTCTAATAATAACTGAGGAAATTAAAGCATGGAAAAAGGCCTTTGAACCTATCTTTTGTTTGCAATTAACCCTAGTTGATTCAGAAGCATTGGAATTAAGGTGTTAAAGATGTTGCTTTTTGCTTGCATTTAATCCATAAAAAGCTCTGCAATAATAACATTTTGAAGTATAATTTTAGAATATTACTTGTATCGTTGAAACTACAGCTTTGGAATATATATAAAGGAAACATGCTTATCTCACGCATTATTGAACCAGAGAAAAACAGCTTGAGAAAGGAAGATGAACATCACCTCAAGGATTTATGGTTTCCAAAGGGAAGCTGGACATCACTGTTATGAGATTTAGAGTCTCTGCAATTAAAAGGTGGACACACATCTGGGGAGCTGGACCCCACCAGATGAGATTCGTCTTTCTTCTTTCGGAAACTGGACCGTCACCATCTGGGGATACTCCTTTGAGATACATCCTGAGAAATTAAAATCACAATAGGGTATAGAATTGTGATGTAATAATTTGGAATAAAAATTGCTGATGAGTAAAAGACTGGAAATAGAAACTGCTGAAAAAACCTGATGAGTACCCCTATAAATACCTGTAACCATCAATTATCGGTGTGCAGTTGGAGGGAAAACTTCCCCCACTGTACCCAGTGCTGTATTGCTCATACTTTACCATATTAAATAATAAATTGATTGCTGCTTGAATATTGGCCTAGTCAAGCTTCTTATTCATAACACTATCATTTGGGTCTCTGGGAGGTGTTTCTCTGTGAGCACCTGAGGCTGGTCCCTCTGCTTGTGCTCCTGGGATATCTCGTGGACACCTGAGCTTCCCTCGGTTCAACCACAGCAATGGTGACACCAGCCCCGCTCAGGCACAGCCTCCCCTTTCCCTGGGGAAGCAATCAAGTTCCTCACTTCAAGTTCATTTTCTTCAGTTTCAAGGCCACATGTTTGACTTGCCCAGGAGTCTGGTAGTTCTGTCCCAACTGCAAACAGCAGGAAAGGCAGTGCTGTGAGGCTTACAGCTTGGAAACACACTGCCTTCTGCTCCCTGGGGCTGATGGGAGAGGCTGGGATTTCAGCTCACATCTTTTGGGGCAGAGCATGGAACATGGAGACAAGTTTCAAGGGGGTGAGCTGCGCCTCAGCTTCCCAAATCCAGACCCGTGTCTCCAAGACAAATGTGCTTTTCATGTTTTCCTTCTGCTTCTTAGACGTATCTCTTGAGTGATGCCAGTCTTTCTGAGGATGTCCATGGGCTGAGATAACCCCAAAGAGATCTGTGGGAATTCATACCGGGTCAAGACTGGGATTTTTCAGCGGAAAATCTCTCCTGGCTGTGTCTGAGCCCTGGCACACAGGCAGGACCCCACTGCAGTCTGACATCCCTGCCCAGGCCAAGGTGGGAACAGCTTAGGGGTGACTGCTGACACCTTGGGCAGACCCAGGACACATGTCCAGGTGTGGGCCAGTTGTAGCCACAAAATCATTATGGGTTAAAATCACCATCTGAGACTTTGTTTCGAGTTTTAAGGATGGGTTTGCAACTGTCTGTGCTGCTGATCTTGTTCTTAGAACAGGACTGATCTCCCACCAGTGTTTCCCAGCCCAGACCTTTGTGGGAAGGTGGCAGGATGGCTGAGAGGATGAGCATTGACAAGCTGGAGGAGCAGCTGCTCTGTCCCCTCTGCCTGGGGGTGTTCAAGGAGCCCCTGATGCTGCAGTGTGGGCACTTGTCCTGTCAGCCCAGCATGCTGTCCCTGCCCAGGCTGCTGGAAGGGCAGCTCCTGTGCCCCGTGTGCTGCCAAGTGCATGCAGTCCCCTGGCACCCAGCACTGTGCTGGCCCGTGAGGGCAGAGCCCACCTCAGAGTCTTGCCCAATGCACCCCACAGATGCACAGGCATAGAATCATGGTATGCCTGGGCTTGAAAGGGACCTTAAAGATAATGTCATTCCACCCCCTTTCATGGGCAGGGACATCTTTCACTGTCCCAGGCTGCTTCAAACTCCAGTCAACCTGGCCTTGGGCACTGCCAGGGATGGGCCAGCCCCAGCTTCTTTGGGCATCCTGTGCCAGGGCCTTTTCACCCTCACAGGGAAAAATCTCTTCCATTTATCTAACCTAAATTTCCTCTTTTTCAATTTGAATGCATTTCCTCCTGATCTATCTGTAGGGAAAAGGGGGTCTGGGATCAAGAAGTGGCTCAATATGAGGTATACATCTTGTTCTCTTTATTGCTAATTGGCATGCTCTTATATACCATTGCCAGCTATTCACGTGGCTTAAGCTTATATATTATTGGTTACAAGTGGCTGTTCAGGTGCCCTAACCAGTGCTATGATTGGTACAGGCCAGCTCTTCATGCTCCTGCTTATTTCTGCAATATTTCTGCCTTGTGGTTTACAGATATCCTGCTGGCACATCCTGCTATCATGGTGCAACCAGCCAACTTCCTCTTATCTCGTGGTCCAAGGGCAATTCAAGGACTCTCTGCTAGCTTCAGGCCTGGGTTATGCACCCCCTGCAGAAGCCTGTGTCCTTTCTCCTGCAGCCAAGCCTCTACATCTATCCAGTTCCTGATGAAAAGTTCAGTTCCTGAGCTTCCTTGTAGCCCCCTTCAGATACTGAAACTTTCTCTTTACCAGACTGAACAGTCCCAGCTCTCTCAGCTTATCTCAGTTAAGGCTGTGGCAGAGTTGGCCTCCTGTGGAAACCGTGGTGCTGCACAACAAACTCCATCAGTACAGGAGAGTCCTTTCCTCTAAGGGCATAAAATGTCAGCCTTAACCTCAGCATCCCCATCCCCAGTCTACCACACTGAAACACAGCTTACCTGCCAGGATGTCCCTGCAGGAAAAGTCCGTATGCCTGAAGAGGGTGAGCAGTGAGTGTTCAGGGTCTTTGTGGCTCATCCTTCCAAGAGAGTTTGAGGTGGACGGGTTGGTTGCTGGCTGACACAGGGACCCTCTCTGAGAGAACAGCACAGCCAGAGCCGAGCAGGCAGCTGTGGTGAGAGGCTGCTGGAGAGGGAAATGGGAGTACAACAAGCAGCTGAAGACCTTTGTGCAGGCAGCAGGTCAGCCCTGGTCTTTCCAGCTGCCCAGGGCTGTGAGCTGGCATGGGGGACTGTGTGCCCAGTCTGCTAGGGAGGGACACTGCCCAGGACCAAGGGGAGCAAGGAACCTGAAGGGCTCAGCCACTCTGCACACAGCCCAGCAGTGGCTCCTGAAAACTGCAAACGGTCACCAGGGACCCACTCCTTGGGCCTGTCACCAAAATGCACAACCAGCCTATGCCAGTCAGAAGTCAGGGAATAAAACACCACCACCAAGGTAAATGTTTGCTCCTGCATTCCTGCCAAACTGGGGCTCCTGAATGTGCCTTTCCACAGGTTCAAGTATTGTAGAATTATGGAATATCCTGAGTTGGAAGGGACCTACAGGGATCATCAAGTCCAGCTCCTGGCCCTGCACAGACACCCCAATAATCTCACCTTGAGCCTGAGAGCGTTGAACAGTGCTGCTGGAGCTCTGGCAGCCCCGGGGCTATGAGCATTCCCTGAGGAGTCATTCAGTGCCCCAGCACCCTCTGGAGGAAGAACCTTTTTCTGATATCAAACTAAACCTTCCCTGACAGTGACAGAGCTCGAGCCATTCCCCCAGATCCTGTGACTAGAATGAGATTCTT